ATTGAGAGCATATTGATAATATGGTGAAATCAATCCCTAGATCTCCATAGTTTGATTTGATTTTTAGAAATTGTCTTACTTTACTTGCATTCTTTATTCCATTTAAATTAGATTAACATAAAAACATCATTCAAACATTAGATTTGTCTAAATAAAATGAAAATCGAAACAATTATAATACTCAGTGGAATTTGAATATCAATCCTGTGGGCTCGACACTTTTAAATTCTTCATTATATTACAAAACTTGACACCATATACTTGCGGTTAAATCACGTTATATAAAACGCGTGGCAAGTTTTTTATTTCCCTCTCTCGAGCATTAAATTTAAGACATCGATTCATTCAATTGGTGATCAGACAATTGAAAGCATTAAGCACAAAACAACACAAATAAATCATGAAAAAACTGAAAGAAATAACTATATTAAAATCAAATCATGTCTCAAATAGGTTACATCAACCCTAGATCTAAGAATTTAGTTCATGCTTGAATCGATCGACATGCCAAAATACAAGATAAAGAACATGAGAAATAGTAAATAAGGGTTTAGGAAAACTAATTGAAGCTGCTTGTTCTTCCCCAATTGTTCGTCAATCTTGATTCAATTCAATTTTCCTTTCCTTGCCTCTTGAATGGATCTTCAATTTTTGCACCCTTTTTGCCCAGAGAGAATACCAGAAAAGAACACCTCCCTTAGGTTTTTCTCTTGGTCTTTATGTTATCTTCGAATTTCAGGTGATTAGGGAACATCTTAGGTCGAGAAATATCCAAAAATTTGGGCTTTTTGGCTTTGCGAGGTTCGGCGCCATGTCTGGCGTCGCGTTGTGATTGGGTTCTGGCGCCAACTATTTTGCTTCTTGTTTTCATGCTGGGCGCCATGGCGCCGTAGTGCCCAGCTTCCTGCTGACTTTCTCCTTTTGTTCGGCGCCGTGGTGCCCAATTTAGAACTCTTACAAACTTTCTCCTTCTGGCTTCTCAATCAATGGATTGGGTGCCATCTAGGCGTATAGAAGACGTGGTGTGGGCATGGAGGAGAAAACTTCGCAATAAGGATAGCGAACTTCTTTGGAATCTTATTCCGAGATGCATTGTATGGTGCGTATGGAGAGAACGGAACGATCGATGTTTCGAAGACCAAACAAAGACAACAGAGCAAATAAGAGAATTATTTTACTTGACTTTGTATACTTGATTTAATGCAGTGGCTAAAAATCCTGTCATAGGGTTGCCTAATTTCATGTTGTTCCTTTCATGTTTAAAGTGATTGTATACCTCCCTTGTATTCTCTTTTAAGGAATAAAATTCTCTGGTTACTTATCAAAAAAAATTAGTTGAATTATTGTAGCTTCATAAATATTAAAAAAATTTAGTTATGGTACGAAACTCGGGAACCAAATCAAATGGAACTGAATTCGAACGGTTCCATAATTAAATTTGGACCTTAATGGTTTCACTTACTAAACAACCAAAAATTTCGGAACCAGACCATGTCTAGCCCTAGGCATGGGTAAAAGATATGGAGTTGGCCATTTTGATTGAAGAATGAGTGAGCTTCAGTTTGTGAAATGATATGTCACTGCAATGGATTATTTTAATGTACTAAATGTTATGCGATTGAACTCGCATTAGAAAAAGAGCGCTGATTAGGCATATACTGCTTTTTGGTTGTAATTATGGATTCGATAAATTTTTATTTTATTCTTTGTTACCATGTGCAGTCAAAATTGAACAAGGCATTATTAGAACCTTTTGAGGCTCTATTAGATGGAGCCAGCGACAATACATGGCCTGCAATAAGAAAACTTCTCCATCGAGAAACTGAAACAGCTATTGCTGAGTTTGCTAGTGCACTTTCTGGTTTCGAAATGTATGAAGAGTCAAGGGAAAAAATGATTTTGAGACTGAAGGATCACGCAAGAGGACTAATTGAAGCAAAAGCAAAAGAAGAGGCTGGGAGGGTTTTGATTCGCGTGAAGGACAGGTGCTTGCTATGTGTCATATATTTGTATTACAAATTCAATATTTGCAAGATTGATGTTCTGTTTTTTCTGCTATATGCACACGGGAATAACCAGGCAATTATTCACAGGTTTTCAACATTATTTAGCCACGATTCTGACTCAATGCCACGGGTCTGGACTGGAAAGGAGGATATAAGAGCAATCACGTAAACCGCTCACTCTTCTGTATGACACACACTATAAATATATCTTCTGGGATAACTGTTATGGATATCTCTGTAATTCTTTTGATTTTAATTTTTATCAGTCATTGAAGCTGCTGTCTGTCATGTCTGCAATTCGTCTGGACGATGATGCTGACACTATTGTGAATACATTGTCTCTCGCTCTTGTTGACCCCAAAGCTGCTGCTTCAACAAATAAGGGAACTTCAGTGGACCCTCTCGCCTCCAGCACTTGGGAGGAGGTAATCGTTGTAGTTGCTGAATCAGTTCCTTTTTGAAGTCAATGACCATATTTCAAATTTAGTTCATTAATAAGCTGATGTTTAGTGGTGAATTTGATGTCTCATCCACTAGACTACATAAAGTTCATTGGAAGAATATATGAACCACTTCATTTTTGTCAAACTCTTTACTTGTACAATTGAACCTGATTGTTTACGGTGCATTTTTTTTGTTTTTATGCTTTGACTCTTCTTTTCTCACTACCTAGTACTTGAAACCTTGTATTATGTACATGCTCACTAGTTACTTTTGGCCATAGACACTCGTTCCTTGCATAATTTATCCAAAATGCACCTAATAATTTTTTTCTTGAATTTTCTTCGTGCACAGGTTCCAGTATCAAAGACCTTGATAACGCCAGTCCAGTGTAAATCATTGTGGAGGCAATTTAAAACAGAGACCGAGTACACTGTTACTCAAGCCATTGCTGCTCAGGCATGGACTTGCACATATAAGGCTTCTGAATATCATAGCCTATTTCATCAACTCTTTGTTCCGTTTGTATTCATACTTACATATCTTTCTAATATTTTATGAGGGAGTTTATTATAGATATATTAATTGCTAATTAATCATTTCTGTTTTTTATTATTTCTCGACTTTCAGGAGGCTAGCCGGCGAAATAACAATTGGTTACCTCCTCCATGGGCAATCGTTGCATTGGTTGTCTTAGGTTTCAATGAACTTATGACACTTTTGAGGTAATTCCTTTTTTGGGAGGGGAGGGGAGTGTTGGTCAGTCGTACCTATTTTTTTATTTTGCTAATGTAGTGTTCTCTTTTGGCAGAAATCCTTTATATTTGGGTGTTATTTTTGTTGCTTTTCTGCTTGTTAAAGCACTTTGGGTGCAATTAGATATTGCAGGTGAACTCCGTAATGGAGCTGTAAGTTTTACTACTAAAATCGATGACTTTCTTTTATATCTCATGTTCGTTGGAATCCAAGTCATTAAAGAACCTTTTGAGTGATCGATTGGAACCAACGGACATTCCTATTTATGCGTTCTGAGAGATTAATTATGCTGTTTGAATTCTGATCTCTTTTTCTGCATGCCTACAGCTTCCTGGACTTCTATCTATATCCACCAAATTACTTCCTACTGTTATGAACCTTCTTAGAAAACTAGCAGAGGAAGGCCAAAGACCTGCACACACCGAACCTCAACATAACCCTCCCCTTACAGCACAGAGCTTCCAGAGCAGTACAAATAATTATAGTGGTATTTCATCAAGTGCTTCTTCAGAGGTGACCCCTGAAAATGGAACCGAACCCTCCAATCCTCCGGCATCAGTAAACCTTTCTTGACAGAGCATCTTCTTTCTGTTCAATACCAATTTTAAGTTCATTTCTGAAGACTATGTTGTGCGGCTGTCCATCGGATTCAACTTCAACTTCTTGCTGCAAGGATCAAACAGTAGACACGTTACTTTTTTTGTAGGTGTCATCGTGTATGTTGGGGCCATGGTGATTCACGAAAATTGCCCCACTACAATATATATTTTTGTATCTTTTTTTTTTTTTTATATACATATGTCCTCTGTTTAGATGATTGCATTTATTGATTGCGGCAATAGAAGAGGCCTTTATCTTGGCCTCTATTATTTATTTTCTGGTTTGCATTCAATTTTGCATGATGAGAAGCAAAATGCGAGTCTATATTTGGAATTGGAGAACCTTTTTGTAATTTAATGAGAAATATTTTCTTATTTGAATGGAAAATGGGCAATCTGGTACTAATGCATATGTTTGTCAAGAAACTTGCATAGCTAAACAAGTTGGTCGAGATAAATCTACTCGGAGGGTTAATTTCTATCAAACGTGAAACAGCAAACTTCTTCATTATTCTGAAAACCTGCAACGGTGTAATCAGTGAACCACTATAAATGTGTAATTTGCTCGTTTTCTGAATAATATTCTGGTTGATATAACAATATTTGTTGCGTGAATAGATAGTGCAGCTGTCTACCGTTCCTCCAAAGCAAAGAACATATGAAGCCACGCAATCCTACAGGAAAAGAAAGAAAAAACATGCTCATGGAGCATTTATGGGAGGTTTCTTCCAGAGAAGATTGCCAGTCCCTGTCAAAAGGCCTACTTAGCCTTTTCAACATAAATATTGATGATAACACTAAAATCTCAAGCCATTCAGACGATTTACGACGATGCATGGATGGTATATGTGTTGTAGAAGATTTTGAGATCAAAACATTTCACCAGATCGACAGCGTGACAAGAAAATAATCGAGAAACTATCTAATGTCAAAAATGATACTTGTACGGAGGAAATGTATGGCTGTTTTAACTATTTTTTTGTCCAAAATCCAATGAAATATTATTACGTGGCATTCTGTTAACTCACCCGTGCATTTTTCCCTGTACATGTAGCATTGGTCATCTAATGTTGTGTACCAAATATATCCATATCTATAATTTCATCCCCATTCATCCATTCTGCGTCTTTTTGGCTCAAATTTCATTTGCGCTTGATGAGAGTATTCACTCTATTAACATCTACACAAACACAAAGTATGAGATGGAACCGACACTAACAGAATTTAAACATCAGTACCATGATGTCTTAAGCCAATTATAGTTACAAGAAGTTTATGTTGCCAGTTAGGAGATCAAAGCTGCATCTATAACTACTCCACATATGGCAAAAAATATATAGCTCTAGCGTATAAATTAGATTTCATACTGTTCACAAGAGAATTATATTCTGAATGGACAACAAGACTTCGAGCATTGAAATTACTGTATTGAAGAGAATTCGCGCTCGCTCATGCTGCCTCGAGACAGTCCTCTTAGTCGTTGCCAGAAGCGCATTTTTCGACCCATCTTCAAAGGAACTGAATTAAATTGCCTCCTAAAAGACTCGGATTCATGCCCTTCACGTCCGCCTGATACACCTTTTAAATCTACTGCTGATAATGCTATCTTTGTATCGAAAATTGAATCCACTGCAGGGAACGGATAACTAGTCTCTAAATCTTCGGCCCGCTCAATTGATATTCTACTGTGCTTACTTTCTATATCAATAGAGAAATCCTCTTGGCTGCAACTTCTTGTCACGGGCTCTTGTGTTTCATCAAACTCACTGCACACGAGCTTCAATGCTTGAACAACTTCACCCATAAAAGGACGATGAGATACTTCTGGTTGCACACACATCGATGCAATTGCTGCAAATTTGGCAATGCTGTCTGAGGGAACATTCGATTTTAAAGCTTGATCGATGATCATTTCCAAACCTTCTTTGGTACCAAGGAGTGGACGAGCCCAAGCAACAAGATTTTCTTGGCCCGGTGGCTGTGACAAATCCACAGGCTTTCGTCCAGTTAGGAGCTCAAGGAGAACCACGCCATAGCTGTATACGTCACTTTTAACCAGTAGATGGCCAGTCATCGCGTATTCTGGAGCTAAGTAACTGTGAGAAGTAAATTTTCAACCAAGAATCAGAATAAATGGAGAAACCATCTTCTAGCATATAAAATAAAATGGCGCAAATTCAATTTAGAATAGTGTAAAACTGCATACCCGAAGGTTCCCATGACATGGGTTGAGACATGTTTGTTTCCCTCTTCCATTGCCGTCCTAGCCAACCCAAAATCTGAAACTTTAGGTGTAAAGTCGTGTTCTAACAATATGTTACTCGACTTGAAGTCTCTGTGTATTACACGAGGGCTCGAGTCCTCGTGCAAATAGGTCAAACCCCTGGCTGCACCCAAGGCAATCTTCACCCTAGAACGCCAATCAAGAGGAGAAACCTCCTTATCGACTCCTGTTAGCACGAAAGAAAAGCAGCAGGACCAAAATGACACAAGTAAAAATCCATATTTACGGATTGGCACACAAACTATAAGTGCATGTTTGGTACACAGGACTGAACAATATTAAATAAGAAGAATAATCTAAAATCTTGTTCATGGTAATGTCCAATCACATTCCAGTACTATCTACCAAACATGCTAGAAGTGTATTACTATGCAAGAATCAAACTAATGTGTACCAACCATGCAAATGGGATTCGACACTTCCATTAGGAACAAGCTCGTAGATAAGAGATCTGCAATTGTCCTCCGCACAGATACCTAATAATTTGACCAAGTTTCTGTGATGCAACCGGCTAAGCATCTCGACTTCAGCTAAAAATTCACGGCTGCCCTGGTGATCATCTCTCTTGAGAACCTTCACCGCCACCTTTCTTCCATCATCAAGAGTGCCACCATATACAAGTCCAAAACCACCTTCCCCGAGGATTCTTGAAGCATTAAAGTTATCGGTCGCTCTCTCTATCTCATCAATACAGAAAACTTTAGCAGTTGTAGTACACGCCAGAAAGCTAGAACTGAGTGACATTGATCCGGAGCTACGCTTGCTTCTAAATGTCGAAGATTTACCTATGCCTGCAGTTCAAATTCCTCGGTTGTATCAATACAATTTCAACAAATTGAGAAATGAATTTGAAAAAGGTCGGGATCATATCTGGTGTACAACAAAAAGTAGGCCTTATTCCAAGACCCAAGTAAATTTAGGGTCATTGCTAAATCTATTGAGAGATCTAAAGCAACTAGATTGTTAGCAACTAAAACAGGCAGTGTTAATTTTGGTTTAATCTGATACATGTATCAGGTGCTCAAGGGATAAAAAGTTAGAAAGTCATAAGATAATTTACCTGATGATTTTCCCTCCAAATACATTAAACCTTGTGGACCTTTTTTATTTAGACAACTGCAACATCCACATTTCAACAACAATAGCCAAATACAACCCATGCAAACTACAAAAGCTGTGACTGCCGATAGAACAATTACAATGACCATAGTTTTGCCAGTCCCATCCTTTCTTGTCCTTGGTACATCTACCCCTAAAGGTTTTATTGGACCTCCATCATCGGTGCTACCAGAATTCTTTTGATCATCAATTGTAGCAGAGCTGGAAATCTTCGAAGGAGGAGATGGTGGAAGACCTGAAAATTATTACATTCAAAGCTCAAGTAGCATACAATTATATATAAAATTATAAATGTAACAATGTGGAATAAAGCTCAGCCCAAAAAGGATGGTATATAATGTTGAAGAAGGAGAAGATAACAAGGTTAGAATTCTACAGATGACACATATGTTTCTGTGATCATAAGGAAACAGGTGCAAAGCCATATGTGTCTAACTGTGCACGATAGAATATACTGCCAAATCAAACTATAGCATAAGCATTCGGACGTTTTAGCAACCAATATCCACTATTAAGACCTACTCCAATTTTTGTCATCTGCCTTTTGGTAAGTATAAGGTAGGAACATCTGAACAAAATTCATTCTGGATAAAGAATATCTTTCTAGTTGTGTCCTCGGGGAATAAGGTGATATTTGCCACCGGAGATATTTCTCTAAGAATAGGTTTACTAGAGTTATGAGAGACTAAAAGAGCTTGGGCAGCGTGAAACTATTTATTATACTCCGGCTAGACTGTAATTGAAGTTCTCCAATAAATCCAACTTTTTTTTTTTTTTTTTTTGGGTGGTTTTTTTTTTTTGGGGGGGGGGGGGGGGGGGGGGGGGGGGGT